AGAAAAGCATCCTGTCCGACCGCTAGGCTTAGAAAGCTGCCACATAAAGTATGCTGGAAATTAAACAGTAGCATCCTGAAGCTAAAACCTAGAGGTCTACTTTTATCTGTTTGTTCAGAAGACCTAGTGGGTTGTGGGAGACAGACGAAAAGCTTTAGGAAGAGAGAGGGTGTTCTTTCACATTTTCCTGTAGTTGTTCTATTTGTTGAAGGATACAGTCATTAAGAATCCACCAAAAAGGAACATAAATACAAAGTCTGCTGTCCGACCTCGGAAAGAGCCTTCTTCTAGCATTCGACAGTAACGATATCTTAAGTTACAAGTTAAGAAAATGTTAAGCACACAAATATGAAGAAAGTAAAATTTAACGTAGCACTTAAGTACACTGGGACTCCACATTATTTGTAAGTCAAGGCTTCATTTCTCTAAGAATGTTTATGAGTGGTAGTATGGTTATTTCTCTTTTACCAGACATTTTAGGCAAGGTGAAGACCAGCTCCTATTTCACAAAAACTGTTCCTGACTGGGGAACTAGGCCAGATGCTGCACAAACATGCTTCCAGTCACCTAGTCAACCTTCTCAAACTGGTACTGTCTTTCCCATGTTCAGCCACACCATAATCTGCACCACCCTTGCTTTTTCATAACCTAACTTGGAAGAAATCCCCAACAAGAAGCCTTGCGTGATAATCTACTTTTTCAGGCTAGGAATATTAAGCATTTCTACACCTCAGTTAATAAAGATGCATTGCGATGAAAAAAATCAATTATATTTAAACTTACCAGAATGGTATACCATATAGGAGACACAGGAATCCATCCTGGGGCAGGAATCCTGTCACTCCTACAAGGTCCTCTGTCTACTGCAGACAAGGTGAGCTGGAACTCCCTCTTAATCCAGAGGGTGGGGATGGAGGGGGAACGCCCTGCTCAGTGGCCCCAATTACCATCTGACCAGAGCACAGTTCTTCCTCTCTTTCAAGAAACCGGAACATGGCAGCCCGGCAGACATCATGGCACTGTCTTATCAGTCAGCAGAACTAGTAACCAAGATCCAAGGAGATCTCCAGTTCTCCATGCCTCACGAGCCCACTCCCAAACCTATACCAAACTGTCAATTATCACTGTACTCAGGTGGTGTTTTATCACTTGGTCCCTGCTGATGTGATTTTGCAAGTATGACTCAAATCACTTCTCTTCTTTGATCAGATTTTTAAGTGGCTTATGGGCAGAAATGTGATTTTCTGGCTTTAAACCTCCCATTTGAACAATGACCTACAAGCACTCTCAAAGCATTACTGTCTGACCAACTACTCTGTGTACCACTGAGCCAGTACCCAGAAGTTAAGCTAACATGTTTACAAAAATAACAGGATTAATAATTTCAACTTAATATTGTATTTCCTAAGTAAGCCTAAATTTTTATGTAACTTCACTTAATAAAGGATACAGAAAAATCATGTTAAATAAAAAATTGAATCCAACTGGCCCAAAAAATAAGAAATTGGTGATTAGCCTCCATATCTGTTAAAAGGAAAAAAATCGAGAAAGATAGATTAAGTAAAATACACGAGGAAACATGTCCATATTAAGACAAAAGAGATATTCTATGACTACGATGGTTGAAAGGCCAAGATAGGGTAATACTATGTTTTGAACTAAAAAGTGGGGCACACAATCTGACATCGGACTTTTATCCTGCTTCTAGTTGAAAGTGTGAAAGATATCACTCAGCCCTTGACATTTGTAAGGATAACATGACAGAAAACTTGAATTTGTGATCATCTTTTAAAGAAAGCCCACACCATACGGTCAGGCAAATGATGGAAAAAGTTTGATGGCAAGACTAGGTTAATTTGCAGAAGAGAAAACAGTGCTGTCACATATGCAGTATCACAATCTAACGAATAGTCTTGCGATACCAGAGGAAAACTCCAGGGACCTAATATAAACTGCCAAGAAATGTTTCAATACTAGGCAGTCAGAAACATCAGAGTAAAGAGTAATTCTAAAGCAAATACTCAAGTTCTGGTCTGAACAAATAACTACTTCCCTACAAGTAAAGACCTAATGCTCTAATAATTCCAGTCTAATTGGTGGATGCAAAGACACTCATTTTCATGTTGGAAACCCTGATATGCTCTTCCCTACTCAATCCATCCACACTGCAATAAAAACAACTACTCACAATGGTAGAGCACTTAACATTTTAAAGTGTTTTAATGTATTTTATTATCTCATGTGATCTTAATAATCCTGTGAGACCACAAGTAGTACCAAGCTGGTACTACCATCCCCAATTCACAGATGAGAAAACTAAGAGACTTGGATTTTTTTTTTTTTTTTTGAGGAAGATTAGCCCTGAGCTAACTACTGCCAGTCCTCCTCTTTTTGCTGAGGAAACCTGGCCCTGAGCTAACATCTGTGCCCATCTTCCTCTACTTTATATGTGGGACGCCTACCACAGCATGGCTTTTGCCAAGCAGTGCCATGTCCGCACCTGGGTTCTGAACCAGCGAACCCCGGGCCACCGAAGCTGAACGTGCACACTTAACACTGTGCCACTGGGCCGGCCCAAGACTTGGATCATTTTTAAATGGCTTGCCCAAGGACACACAGCCTGTAGAGGGAGACTCTGAATTCAAACAGAACTCCTAACGCCGAGTGCAGATACACAGTGTTGTCAAGAGTTAACCCCAGGCGAAATCCTGCCAAGCAAGCTAACAGGAAGAAATGCTTGGATGCAGCCACAGCTCCCAGCAAGGACCACGTGAGTACTGAAGAAGACGGCAGTAACAAGAGTCCACAGGACTGCTATAGATATCATTAAATTCTTAAGAGTTGATGACTATTAAAGTGGAAACAATTCAGTTCTGCATGCTAACTGCATCCAGGAGTTTAGAGTCCTCAACCTACTGAGGAGAGATGCATATAAATAAGTCCAAGTACAAGGTGGAGATGCTCTAAAAGAAGTATTTACAGATACCCTAGGGACACAAAGGAGGATGCATCTGAGAAGGCTACACAAAAGCTGTGTGTTGAAAGGCAAGCTGGAGTTCAATGGGTATAAAATGAATGAAACCCATTCGAGACAGAGAGACTAGCATATGTAGAGACAGAATTACTGGCTTTTGGGACTCTCTCTGACTCCAACTATAGCCTTATATGATCATCCTGGAGCAGGAAAACACATCTCTCTTTTAGCATTCTAATTACTGAAAAGGACTATCTCCCACGGTAATCTAATAAATTGGCATGTTGTTTTAGATATTGGTCTTTTGGAGTTTGGTTAGTATGATCTGATCCCTGAAAAATGGGTCACTTAACAAGCACTAATAGTTTCTGAACTGGACCAGAGTGACAACACCACCAAGTTGGTGGAGGTGTCAGGTGGTGAGTGGACAAAATCAGGGCACCCTGTGAGATTCTCCCTGGGTTGCTGGCTGGTCAGTCTCCTCTCAAACTACAATAACTCTGAACTAGTGATACCTAAATATAGGAACCGGATAAATCAAATCAGAACCATGCAGGGAACTTTAACAATGAAATACAGATTCTTAATTCCTACTCTTGGTGATTACAATTTGGTACATGAGGAGCTTGAGACTCTCTTAAAAGCTCCCTAGATGATTCTGAAGCCCAATCAGGCTTCCAAGTCACTGCTTTATACCCTCCACAATAAGACTCACAACCAAATATTCCAACCGAATTCTTTTTTGAGATACAGTGTCTGGCAAGATTTGCTACCAAAAAGTAAGAAAAACAAGTAAAAAACTGAAACGACCATAGTTGCGACGGACCACTTACTTGAAAGTGTTTGAAGATTAATTCAGGATTGAAGTACAACTGAAAAGGTGTGATCAATTCCAACTGCTGAAATAGAAAAAGAACTTCTTAGAGCAAATCAGTCAAGAAACAAAATTTCATCATGTACAACCAAGGATTAGTAGGCCTAGAAATTTCTAATTCTCCATCACTTAGACCGAATCCTTTAAGGCTTTCTTCTCAGGCCAGAAGAGGTTGGAAAGAATTCTCTAGAACTGGTATAATTCTTTGTATCCCCAACACCTAACACAAAGTAAAAGTTCGTTTTATGTTGCAATAGGTAACGCTGACATGAGGGCATGGGAGGCAGGGGGTGATATCAGCTGCCACGAATCTGCCCATCTCACGGGCACCACCTGAAACAGCTGTGTGAAGCAACACCCTCACTCCAGAGAACCGAGACTCAAGACCCTGCCGCCGTCAGGGCTGGGTGCTTCCAGCCAACCTCTCTATCTAGACTCTTTCTTTCAAAACTTTTCCCTCTCGACAACTTCTAGCTTTCTATCCTCAACATGTGTTTCTTCATTAAGCGGGCCTACCTCCCACTAGTCACCACCTTACCACTTGGCCATCGCCAGAGTTCTGAGACACGTTTCCTGGGTGGGCGGCTCCCGCAGCCCTGACTTGCTATAGGTCCGGCCTTCATCTCTCAAAAACTGACCTGCAGGCCTGATCCTCCACCCCTCACGGAGAAGCATCCCTTCTCGGGTCACTGGATAAGCACTCTCCGGGCCATTGCGACCCCAAAGTGAGTGCTGTACGCCTCCACCCACCCCTGTGACCAACCCCTCTGGGTTTCCCCGAAGCCTAAGCCCCAGTTTCCTAAGGACTTGGTCATATCCGGCCCGGATAACGAGAAGCTGGCGCTGCAGCTGCTCACCACAGCGGCGGTGGTGAGGACGCAGGCGGTGGTGTAGGCGCGGCTGACTGGTGGGATCTGCAGGTACTCCAGCCGGAGGCTCTGGTACGCCATCTTCCCCACCGCCGCCTGCGCCCCCCCCCGCCCCACTTCCCCTTCCGCCAGTCAATCCAAGCGGTGAGGCGGGAGCAAGGCGAGGTCCTCCCTCCAGCCTGCCCGCTGCTGTCCAATCAGCGCCGTGCAATCGGCCAGCGACCAATCGCTAGAGCCCTAGGGAAAGCACAGTCGCCAATCACGAGTAGCGTCTCCGCGGCGTCCCAGCCTTGCTTCCCCACCCACCAACGTAGGGGAGGGGAGTGTAAGTACCGCTTCCCTCCTCCAATCCCCGCCGGCCACAGCTAGCTTTCCCGCCCGACCCCTTTGCGTCACCATTCTAGGTGGCCCCCTCCCGACCGTACAGCCAGCCAATCAGGAGGGCGAGAGCATCCCGCCTTTGCTCTCGTACGCTGAGGCTGGTATCCGTCGGAACTTGGCTAGCCAGCCGCGCCGCCAATCTCTGGCAGCAAGCGGTGGTTTAAAGGACGTGGCGGGAACCTGGTGTTGGCCGAATTCGTCACTCTCACGGTCGCTTGGGTAAGTGCCGGGGGGCTGCATTTTCTCTGAGGAGGAGAGGGAAGGAGTGCTACGGGGTTAGGCATCACCGCCGGGCGCTGGAGCGGCCTCTGAGAGCAGCCTCGCTGGCCCGGCCACGGGCCTCCAACTTGAAGGTCCCGGCATGCAGCGGGGTCGCGGGGCCCGACGGGAGCCCGTCCGCCGGCCGGAAGTAGTTCCTGCCCCGCGGCTTTGGAGCTCAGTCAGCTCAGCTCGCCGAGGTGTCTTGGGTGTCTCCCTCGTTTCCTCCGCAAATATTACCATACTCGTCCTGCCTTTAGGAACCCTAAGGCCAGCAGAAAAGAGGAGACAGGCTCTGAAGTAGGGCTTGGTCAGTGTCCGAAGGGAAGTCCCGATGGGAATGCAGAGGAGAGGGCGGGTCACCAGGGAGGTGTGTTTAAACTGACCCTTGGAGGATATTTGGCCACCGCATCCTTCCTGAGGGAAAGTCATCGCAGGGGAAAAAATAGCTCGGTTTGGTTGGAACAAAGGGTAGCGAGATCGTGGCATGCAGTTAAAAATAGTCGTTGGGTGATAGTAAGCTCTAAAGGTTTTTGGAACAGGGAGTGACCTTCAATATAAGGAAGGAACCAAGTGAAAAGCTGGAGGGAGTGGTTTTTCAAAAAGAATATGAATGAGTAATTCACAGAAGGAGAAACCTGGAGAGCTACTGTGTATGAGATGGTGGTGCTCAACTTTACTGGTCATCAGAGAAATGCACATGGAAATATTTTTGCCTGTTCTCCAAATATCCCCCTCCCAACCTGTTGATAAAACAGTGCTGACTGTATTGCTTACCCTGGTAAGGGAGAACACCTCAGCAGAGCTTTGGCAGTGGCACATAGGGAAGAAAGGCAAGATCGGAATTTTTTGAGAATGGCAAGTTTGGTTTAAGGTGGGTCTTTCAATTTGGGGGCTTGATTAGGATTGGTAAGGATCATGAAATCACAGGCCAGGATTGGTAGGAACAGCTGAGGCCGGGATTTTTGAGAATCTTACGGTACAGATTGTTGATGCTTCCCATTGCAGAGCTGATCCATCTTTTGGGGAGTTCATAATGACCAGTCAAGCCATTTGAACAATGAAAATATTATCCTGGTCTCCTAGGACAGTAAAGTCATGCCAATGTGAACAGTAAGTTGTGTCTGGGAGGGGAGGGAGTGTAGGTAGTTTCGGTCCTTAGTGTCCAACCTGTGTGAGTATGGCTAGATGGTTTTGATTTTCAGAAAAACACTGTAAAACAGTTTTACACCTACCGGGTCAGCAAAAATTAGAATGTTGAATAATATTAAGTCTTGGTGGAGACATGAGAAAGAATTCTCATATACTGCAAGTGGGAGTGTAAACCAGTCTACACCTCCCCCCTACCCCCAGAACATTCTGGAGGACATTTTGGCAGTATTTAGTGAAATTATGTGTGCGTAAACTCTTTGGCCCAGCAGTTACTTGGCTATGTAAATACCCTGCATGTCCCTGTGGAGACTTGTTCATTATAGGAGGGTGTTCATTACAACATTATTTCTGGTAGCAAGGTGCTGAAAGCAGTGTAGGTGTCACAGAGAATGGGCACATTAAGTGTGGTATATGCATGTGCTAAAACTGAGGGACTACTTCAGTCAGAACCAATGAAGTGGGGGCCGGCCAGTGGTGCAGAGGTTAAGTTCACATGTTCCACTTCGGCAGCCTGGGATTCGCTGGTTTGGGTCCAGGGTGCGGACCTACGCACTGCTTGTCAAGCCATGCTGTGGCGGGCGTCCCACATGTAAGAAAAAGTAGAGGAAGATAGGTGTGGATGCTGACTCAGGGCCAGCATCTTCAGCAAAAAGAGGAGGGTTGGCGGCAGATGTTAGTGTAATAACATGAAGTGATCGCAAACATACTTTAAAGAAAAATGTAAGCATACGTATATAAAATTGTGTTTTTCAAGACTATATATCTAAAACCTATTAAAGATGAATTGAAATTAAAGATGAATTGAAAAGGCATGTGTTACAAACACTAGAGTAGTGAGGGCCTCCCTGTGGCCGAGTGGTTGGGTTCCTTGACTCCCCTTCCATGGCCTGGGGTTTTGCTGGTTCAGATCCTGGGTGCCGGCATGGCACCACTCATCAGGCCATGCTGAGGCAGCGTCCCATGCCACAACTAGAAGGACCCACAACTAAAATATACAACTGTGTACTGGGGGCGTTGGACAGAAAACAAAGGAAAAAGAAAAAAGATTGGCAACAGTTGTTAGCTCAGGTGCCAATCTAAAAAAAACCAAAGAAACACTAGAGTAGGTTCCTATGGGAGATGAAAAATGGAAGAGTAAAAGAAGAAAAGACCTAGCATGAACCAAAAATAGAGTACCATGCAATAGGAAGTATTACCAACTCAATTATACACATGCGAAGCCCTTAAAAGGGAGGACAGAATGTGGTTAGTAAGGGCCAGATGATGAAGGCCCTTATAAACCATGGTAAAAGAGTTTGAACTTGATCCTGGAGGCATAGGGCAGTGTTGAGTGAATAAAAATCCTGCCCACCCAGAGAATCCTCTCCACAAGACATAGGAAAGAAAGCAATTTTATTACTGAATAAGCATATCCATATTACAGTGCATTGTAGGTAATCTGTGAGTGAGATTACAAAGATAGAAAGAAATGCAGCCTTATTTATACAGCCAACCAGTTAAAACTATTCTATTTTTAGCCATTACATCCATAAGTTCTCAAGATTAACAGCATCTTGTCTTCCTATAAAAAAATTCGACTGCACCATTTGCTTCCAATTCTTTTCTTTTTCCTCTCCAAAGCCTCAGTACATAGTTTTATATTCTAGTTGTAAGTCCTTCTAGTTCTTCTATGTGAGCCACCACCACTGCATGGCAACTGACGGTTGAGTGGTATGGTTCTGCGCCTGGGCTGCCAAAGCAAAGCCTGCTGAACTTTAACCACTAGGCTGTCAGGGTTGACTCTGCTTCAAATTCTTTTACGAGGTTCATTCTAAATTCACTTGGTAGTTAAGGCAGCCATTTATTTTAGCTAATTGTCTTTATCTGAAGGAATAATAAAACTTCTTTCTATGACAAGCATATGGTTACAGCTCAGAAAAAGGTGCCTAGGTTAAACCCCTACAGGGAATGGGAGATGGGAGTGTTATTTTCCTAGATGTTTACATTTGAAAGGAATGACTCCCAGACTCTTGAAAAATCATGTTGGGGTTGTAAAGCTGACAAGAGGCTTGCTCAGCTTCTAATTGAGATTTTTTTTCAGGTGGCTAGGTTGAAAGGACAAGGAAGTTGAGGTCATTGGCAAGGGAGTGGTTGAAGTGATGAATCATGAAGCCTAAAATGGATGGGGGGGAGGGGCTGCCCAGTGGCATAGCGGGTAAGTTCATGTACTCTGCTTTGGCGGCCCGGGGTTCAATGGTTTGGATCCTGGGCGTGGATATGGCACTACTCATCAAGCCATGCTGAGGCGGTATCCCACATATAAGAACTAGAATGACTAACAACTATGATATACAACTATGTACTGGGGCTTTGGGGAGAAAAGAAAAAGAGAAAGATTGGCAACAGATGTTAGCTTAGGGCCAATCTGCCTCACCAAAAAAAAAAAAAAAGCATATCTTTAAAAAATAAATAAATAATAAAATGGATAGGGAAAGAAGTGAAGTGGGAGGGACTGAGAGCAAGAAGGAGAGGATCAGAGGACTGAAAATCTTGAAGATTAAGGTGTGAATATGTGAATGAGAGTTGGAAGAATAGCATAGGAAGTTGTGGTCAAAAAGTAGTAGTTGGAGGGAGAAGTAACAAATATCAAGAGCCAAATGGCTAAAAGAATGGAGATAAAGTCCATTGAAACTCATCTCTAGGAATTGGGTAGGTCATCTGTCTAAACTTGAACATTGTCTCGGATGGTAACAGAATTCAGAAGACTGAGCCATAGGCCAGAGTCCTCGATAAATGAGAGATGAGGGAAATGAACAATGAAGACGGGGAAAGGGAGGGTAATGGCTGATGGAAAGAGCCTCAGAGGCAAGGGTTTGTATCCTGTTGTGGATGAGTGAGGCTGGAAGTGGCATCGGGTATCAAGGAACACAGACTCATTATTTTTTTATTGCTATCTGTAATGCGATTTAGTTTCCTCAGATGATTTTTTTTTTATCCAAATGAAATTTTTCTTTTTACATTTGCAGATTTTTCACCGTCAAAATTAACATTGCAAAATAAGCCAACATGTCTGTCGATCCGATGACCTATGAGGCCCAGTTCTTTGGCTTCACGCCACAAACTTGCATGCTTAGGATCTACATTGCATTTCAAGACTACCTGTTTGAAGTGATGCAGGCTGTTGAACAGGTTATTCTGAAGAAGTTGGATGGCATCCCAGACTGTGAGATTAGCCCAGTCCAGATTCGTAAATGCACAGAGAAGTTTCTTTGCTTCATGAAAGGGCGTTTTGATACCCTTTTCGGCAAAATGGAGCAGCTGTTTTTACAGTTAATTTTACGCATTCCCCCAAACATCTTGCTTCCGGAAGATAAATCTCAGGAGATGCATCCTTGTAGTGAGGAAGAATTCCAGCTTCTCCAAAAAGAAATTGAACAGTTACAGGAGAAGTATAAGACTGAATTATGCACTAAGCAGGCCCTTCTTGCAGAATTAGAAGAGCAGAAAATTGTTCAGGCCAAACTGAAACAGACACTGGCTTTGTTTGATGAGCTTGAAAATGCTGGCAGAGATCATGGGACTAGTGATTTTAGAGAGAGCTTGGTATTCCTGGTCCAGAACTCCAGAAAACTACAGAATATTAGAGACAATGTGGAACAGGAAAGCAAAAGACTGAAAGTATCTTAATTTCTAGGTAGTAAAAGGGGGTCTATCAGAAAGAATGGTCAGGGATTTACATCAATGACTATTCTTATTCTAGGAAACTGTATATTTTATTGGATTTTCCTCGTTCACTCTTTCATGTATTCCACGCCTTCTCTTTTTCTGTCCCCTCTCCTGAGGTATCTATCTACTACCCTCAACTAATCTTTGAAGCATCTGTTCTTAGAGGCCCCTAATAGATGGGAAGGGATTCTTGACTCAGTAATGACTCATTTGGGGGCATAATCGAAGAAGTTAAGCCTCCCCTGGCCGAAGATATCCGTAAAGTTGTACCTTGGTCATGAGTCCTTTGTAACCTCGGTCCTTTTGACTTATTCTTTGGATGAGACAAATGAGGAAAAGGTTAAATGGGTGGCTTCTTGGTTAACCAGCTGCTACCCTGTGGGACAGCCAGCAGAGTGCCTGCCCTTGCCCAGTAACTTTTCTACACGAGGAAGTGGATAATTAGTTGAAAGAAGCAAGTAGCAGAAAAGACAACCATGATCTTTAGTAAAGAAGAAAGAAGTTTTTGTTTCTAAAATAAATCCTTTCCACGACCAAGGCCTCGGTGACGGTAAGCAGTTTGCTATGTTGAGGTCCAGCAGGAGAGGACCTGGGACAAAAAAGAAGCAGATGTCACTGGAGCAGAAAAGGAAGAAGCCTGGAACATACCCAAGGCAAAGTTTATATTAACTGATTGTTAGGTATTTGTAGCAATTTTTTTTTCATGCTTCAGTTAGTTTTGGAATCTGCGTTGTAACTAATATTTAATTAACTTATTTATTCACACTCATAAGCATCAAATATTTGGTACCCTCACCGGGAAATTTTAGCTGTGTCTTGTGCTTAAATTCAATGGAGTCTGATATTTCCTTTTGTAATCAGTCCATGTAAAGAGTTAGACCACCCAAAGAAAGGGGAGAAATAGCAATTGATGCTCCTAAGGTATAGCTTTCCCGTATGTCTTCCTAAAGAACAGGACTCGGAGTTTCTCCTTTATGTAGAGGAGTAACTTAGGGTATTACTGTTTGCAATTAAATATTTAAAGACACAGGAAGCCTGTGTTTACCTGGAATATGTTTATTATCAAAGAGTCTTTTTTTCCAATCTTGTACATTAAATACATTTGTTTCAAAAGCTTTGGTTTTTGATTTTCTACTGTCTGTAGTGTCATGGTGTGTTTCCTCCCTCAGTATGACTTTTTACCCAAATGAAAATTTTCTATTTTTTTTTTACATTTGTAGCTTATTTAAAATATCTGAGTATAGTGAGCTGAAAGGTGATCCCCCAAAAGTATTCCATGTCTTGATTACTGGAACCTGTGATTGTGCCTTATTTGGAAAAGGGGTCTTTGCAGGTGTAATGAAGTTAAGGATCTGGAGATAAGGAGATCATCCTGAAGTATCCAGGTGGGCCCTCAATCCAGTGATAAGTGTCTTTATGAGAAAGGCAGAGGGAGATTTGACACAGAAGAGGAGGAGGCATTGGGACCACAGAGGCAGATTGAAGCGATGCAGCCACAAGTCAAGGAATGCCGAGAGCCACCACAAACTGGAAGAGGCGAAGAACAGCTTCTCCCCCAGGGCCTCCGGAGGGAGTGTGGCCCTGCTGACACCTCTATTTGAAGTTCCAGCCTCCAGAACTGTGAGAATACATATCTGTTGTTTTAAGTTGCTAAGTTTGTTATGGTATCCACAGGAAACTAATATACCTGGTGAAATTAGAATATTAAGATATTCATAAGGATCTAGGCTGCTTATTAAGGAAACAACAGCTGAGACCTAGTTGGCCTCATTATACAAGCAATAATATGGTTTGAATACAGTTAAAATATGGACATGACCTGGGTAGAAGGGTGAAATCCACAGTGTCTAGAACTCAGGAGTCCATTTCATGTTGAATAAGTGCTCAATAATTGTTGGATATTAATACTGTTAATATTTGTCATAGTAGTGTCTCTGCAGGAACAAATTAATCTACCTGGCCTCATTCTCCTTTAATAATTAAATTGCTCCCTCAAAAATTCAGAAATAAATCAGGATAATAAACACTTGGTTACCCATTCGGCTTCATTGCCCTATCTTCCATCCAGCATCAGTCTCACCCCATTTCCTACTTCCCTCTACATTGGATCCTATGATTTTGTAATATCAAACCTTCAATTTCCCTAGATGCCTACTCCCAAGCTTTCTGTTGTATTTATCTATTTATTTTCCCTTACTGTCATGCCCGTTCCCCACTATGTACCCCCAAATAAACTTTTCTCATACTGCTGCTGCAAGTGTCAGGCAGCCACTTAGGGACACAGTTTGGTGTGGTATTATTAGAAAGTAAAGAGTGGACATTACTACCAACTTTTCAGAAATAAAAAGAATTATCAGGAAATATTAAGAGATATGTACTCGATTCTGATGTGGGAGGGGTTCTACCCACACCACCAAGTAATTCTCGGACACTGACTGGGTATCCTACAATTCAACTCAATTCTGACACTACCTGGAGATAGCATCAGATTCCACAGATTAAGGGCTCAGTCCCACAAGACTGCCCTCCACTTCAGATGCCAGTCATGAGTCCAGGTGGTTACCTGTGCTGACTGACTGGCTATAAATCAGAGGTCCCATGGCTCCTTGGGTTCATTTGATTCGCTAGAGCGGCTCAGAACTCAGGAAAATTTGTTTACTCACAAGATTTACTACAAAAATTATACAACTCAACAGCTAGATGAAGAGATACATAGGGTGAGGTTCTGGACAAAGGAGCTTTTGTCCCTGTGGTGTTTGGGCCTGGCATGGTAGCATGTGGAAGGGTTCTGGTTCCCCAACCTGGAAGCTTTCCAAACCCCCTCCTTTTGGCTTGTTATGGTGGCTTCATTACATAGGCATGGTTGATTAAATCATTGGCAGTTGGTGATTGAAGTTGGACTCCTACCTCACACCATATACAAAAATGAACTAAAAATGGGTCAAAGACCTAAATGTATGAGCTAACACTCTAAAACCCTTAGAAGAAAACATAGGCTTACATCTTGGTGATCTTGAATTAAGCAGTAGTTTCTTAGAGATGACAAGAAAAAACACAGGAACACCAAGCAACAAAGGAAACAGATAAACTGTAACAAGCAACAAAGAAAACAGATAAACTGTACGTCATCAAAATTAAAAACTTGTGCTTCAAAGACACTATCACAAAAGTGAAAAAACGAACCAAAGAATGGGAGAAATGGGCGTGTATTTAGAATAAAGAACTCAGAATTCAAGACAAATATCCCAATTTTAAAATGGGTAAAGGATCTGAATAGACATTTCTTCAAAGAAGATATACACTTGGCTAATAAGCACGTGAGAAGATACTCAACATCATTAGGCATCAGGGAAATGCAAATCAAAACCACAATGAGATACCACTTTATACTCACTAAGATAGCTATAACTTTTTTTTTTTTTTTTAAAGTTTTGGCAAGGAAGTGGAGAACTCTCATACAGTGCTAACAGGAGTGTAAAATGATGCAGCCACTTTGGGAAAAAGTCTGGCAGTTTCTCAAATGGCTAAACATAGAGTTACCATATGATCCAGCAATTTCACTCTAAGACAAATGAAAACGTATGTCCACACAAAAAATTGTACACAATCGTTCATAGTAGCGTTATTCATAGTAGCCAAAAAGTAGAAATAACCCAAGTGAACCCAACTAATGAATGGACAAATAAACTGGTATATACATACAACAGAATATTATTTAGCAATAGAAATGAATACATGCTACAACATGGGTGAGCTTGAAAACATGCCAAGTGAAAGAAGCCGGTCACAAAGGACCGCGCATCGTATGATTCCTTTTATATGAAATGTGCATAATAGGCAAATCTATAGAGACAGGAAGTTGATTAGTGGTTGCTTAGGGATGGGGGGGTTGGAGGGAGATGGTTAAGGGGTATAGGGCTTCTTTTTGCAATAATGAAATATCCTGATATTGATTGTGGTGATGGCTGCACAACTCTGAATATACTAAAAGCCATTGAATTGTATAATGTAAATGAATGAGTTGTGTGGTATGTGAATTATATCTCAGTAAAGCTGATAAAAATAATACTAAGAGTATGTGCTCCAGAAACAATGCTTGAATTCCTCTAGCTCCATCACTAGTGCTGTGACCTTGGGCAGATCACTTCACCTGCGCCTGTTTCCTCATCTGCAAAATGGGGAGGATAAAAGAACTTACCTCATAAGGTTGTGAGACTTCAATGAATTCACACTATATAATACACTAAGCCAGACACACGGTAAGTTCCATTAGTCACAAAGTGAGCTCCATGCAGGCAAGGGTTGTATCTGTTTTGCTAATCACTATCTCCAGTGCTTGATACCTACTAAGCAATGAAACATTTAAAAATATTCTCCCAGGCTCAGGTTCTGCCGTCCAAAATAGCTGAATTCCAACTGTCTTCCTCAACTTAAAGTTCCTACTGTCCCATGATATTCAGAAACCACTATTTACTTCACTTCATATGTCTACCCACCCCTAACAACCCGATACCTAATACATAACCCAATACATAATAGGAAAATTGTCCAAAATAATCATCTCTTCCTTTATCATTTGTGATCTGCTAAAATTCAGTTTACTGGATGTCTGTTATTTTCGCCTACCCAGGATCCACGGTGTTGATAACTTCAGTTTTCCTTTGGGGAAACTGTCTCTTTCCTATTGCATGCTATTCTCACAGGACTGCCTATTAAGGTGTCTCTTATGACTTCTGGCAAGAGTGGGCATGTGACCCTAGCTAGGTCAGTAAGACTCTAGAATTAGATTCTTGAGCAACGTGGCAAAAGTACCAAAAAAGGGGCCCATTTGTTTTTATGGTTAAACCCTGAAAAGGGTGTCCGTTAGTACTTGAGTGGAGAGGCTTGATATTTTGGACAAAGGAACCTCTTATTGGAAGCCCAGAAATTAGGAGACAATTGACAGCGGTGGAGGAGATATGTGACCAAACATCCTGGGATACTTAAACTTTATAAAAGGAAAATTGGCCAGGTCAGACACATGAGGATGCTAAAGGGACACATGGTATGAGAGTATGGAAGTTTAAAATTGGTTAGAAAATATGGGCCAAGCATTGGAGCTCAACGGAATTAGGAATTTCAAGGAGGTATGGGGAATTTCAGGTATTTCAGAAATTTCAAGGTAAGGGGAAAAGTACGGGCTAATAGGGGAGAATATAGGGGTATGGGAGGAAAGAGGTTGGATTTCGGGGTTGGGGTGAGCTCAGTTTGAGGACAGCAGTGATGGGGTGAGTGTTGAGGAAGACTGGACCACAATATTGGGGAGACAGTAATAATCCAAGTATTTGGGGAACAACACAATGAGTTCTGAAATAAGGGGATCAAATGAACCTGGATATTTAGGAGAATATTGGAGCCAATGTTCAGGTTGTAGAGGCAAGAGGATCTAGTAATGGTATACTTATGGGAACCAGATACTTGAATTTGGGGTAGAAAATGGAGGCCAGGTTTGGTGGCAGAGAAAGTATCATGATATTTGTGGAACAATGTACCCAATGTTGAGGAACAGGGAACTTTGGTTTTGGGAATGGGGGGGGGGGGTGGTTCTATTGGGATTAGCTGAGGGAAGAAATTGGGGGATCATGTCCTGAGTAGTCACTGAAGGACTGTACAATGAAGGATAATGGGGGACATGTGAGTGGGAAACTATGGGATCAAATGTTTGGAGATCACTGGGCCATATATTGGGATTCAGTGGTTAGTCACTATTCAAGGACAGCAGAAGATACAGTATCCAAGATTGAAAGCTGCAAAAACAGTGCGAGGTACATACTGTGGTACCTTGGAGACCTAATTTTGGAGCCTAGTGCCACTGATTATTGTGGGGAATTATTGTAGTCAACTGGCTGTAAAGCACAGGTTGACACTAGGGACCAGTGGATGTCACACTTGTGGCACTGAAAGTGTAGAGGGGCAAGATATTAAGGCATGTAGTGATATAGGATTAGGGGAAGCCAGCAGTGGGAAATGACAAGGCCCTGATATCAGAAAACATTGAGCTTATAAAGATACAAGCTGCATGAATCGGGACAAATTCTAGTTTAGTGGGGGGACTGTTCTGGGGCAGAAGTGTCTTGATAATGGAGGCTAGTGGGTAATGCCACAATGGGATAGTGACAGACCTGCTGTTAGGGTAAAGTAGAACTGGATGCTGGCACGTGGTCAGGACCTGGTATGGAGAAAGGTGCCATTGAGAGGCCTGTATAGCTATTTAGTGGAGGGAGACGCTGTCTTGGAATGCTGGATAATGGGATGAAGTCTGTTTGGGAGGGACAGTAGGGATGTTCTGAAGAAACTAGGAAGCAGACTAGGAAGTTTGGCGGGCCCACTGCATAACTGGAAATAAACAGAGAACTGAATATAGAGGACACTGAAAAAGAGGGATTTATTCCATCAGAGGTACCATAATTACAGACATTTCCAAGTAAAGTATATGCAGTATGAGAGCGCTACGTTTTGACATTAAACATTCAGGAGTAAACAGAGACGGCAGGTGGGTGAATAACCTGCCAAGGTGGGTTTTGGTAGTAGGCCTTTTGGGTCTGAGATGACAAACCCCTAGGGGTCAGGTAATTTTCCAGCATGAATTTTTGTCAATGACAGATTCCCCCACGCCCTTCGTCTTGGGTCCCTTAGCTCTGGGAAGGGCTCCGGTCCAGCAGGAAGCCGCCCTGCAGTCCCCAAAGACAGCCCTTCGGTAGACGCCAGCCAGGGCTCCAAAGTCTCATCACGCGCAGCGCGCGAGCTACGGGCATGCGTCTCAGGAGGCCCGCAGCCTCCAGTCCCGCGCCGTCCAGAAGATGACGGTAGCGTGGCTTCCCATCAGGACAGCTCCTCCGGCAACCGGGCTTGGCTCGGCTCCACAGCGGCAGCCAAGCCTAAGGCAGGAAAAAGGCACAGTCTACGTCAGCCTGAATCCCTGGGGCGCAACGCGCTACCCAGACAAACGCCACTTACCGCGTCTTGCGCTCCGGCGGCGTCCGTTGC